GACCACCCAAGGGCTGCGGGTTTGGAGTTTAGGGCTTAGGGTTTAGGGTTTGGGGTTTTGGGTTTGGGGTTTAGGGTTTGGGGTTTAGGGTTTCGGGCTTGGGGTTTCGGGCTTGGGTTTTCGCGGGGTTTAGGGCCTGGGCTGGTAGCCTTTACTGGTAGCACATTCGCGTAGACGCCGTGGGATAGAGACGTTGCATATCGGAATCGCCCTGGGGATCTGAAGTGCTATTGAAAAGCCGAGATTTCGGGCTCATGAAAGGCACATTAGGTTTCGGTAGAGGGTTTAGGGTTCAGGGTTTAGGGCGTAGGGTTTAGGAACCTGACGATCATACAGTACGGACTGCCTCTGCACCGAAAGTAGCCCAGGCAGCTGTTAACCATGGCTAACACATAGTCACCTCTCCAAGTTAACATCCTTTTACCCTAAACCCTAAACCCTAAACCCTAAACCCTAAACCCTAAACCCTAACCCCTAAACCCCTAAACCCTAAACCCTACGTTGCATATCGCAGCCTGAGCCGCCCGCATCATGCTGAGCCGAAACCCTAACATTGGCAAGCAGCTGTGTGCACTCACGATCCGTTTCCAAAACCCGAAGCCCCAGACCCTCAACCGTCAACCCTAAACCCTATAAACCCTATAAACTCTTAACATCCCTAAACCCTAAACCCTACACCCTAAACCCTAAACCCTACACCCTAAACCCTAAACCCTGAACCCTAAACCCTAAACCCTAAACCAAAGCCCCTCAACTTGGATGGGGACCGGTGGCCACAGCTCCACCATCTGCCCAACAAAAACCTCGAGGCTGTTGGGCTTGTACCTGGGACAGCACCCTTCCCGTTTAGGGTTTAGGGCTGCTCGGTTAGCCCCTTACACCACTTTTGCTAAATATTACCCTCTGAAAAACCATGAGGGAGAAAGTATACAATGTCCGCAAAGCCTGCCCTGGGCATATAGGATTTTGTGCTTCTGGGGATTTGGGCGTGTAATCGGCATCTAGTCGCATAAAGTTGAGCTAGCACTAAGGTTTAGGGTGAACCCTAAACCCAAAACCCTAAACCCTAAAACCTAAGCCCCTCGGGTCCGAAACCCATCAGCTAGTCGTTGCTGCAGAGGCCCCGGCTCGAAGAATTCCATGGCAGTCTGCAGGGAGGGTTCAACAAATTTGGGGTTTAGGGTTTAGGGTTTAGGGTAAGCCTCCCAGCTCGGGACTAATGCCAATAGACTCGACGGGAGGGGAGTCCAAGGGGGAGATGGTTAGGGGGTAGGTAACCTAGTACTCCTTGTAATCAGGGGTTTAGGGTTTAGTTTAGGATTCTCCCCCTCCCTTCATGACCTCAGATGAGAATGGGACACATCGTAGTTTGGGATTTGGCCATGGAGCTCGGGCTAAACCATTGGTCCGGAGTAATTACTACTGGCATTCCCTTATGGTCCCTTTGTAACTGCACTATAATCACCCCAAACCCTGTTCCTATTTATTAGGGCCCTATAGTAGCCCTAAACCCTAAACCCTAAACCCTAAACCCTAAACCCTAAACCCTGAACCCTGAACCCTGAACCCTAAACCCTAAACCCTAAACCCTAAACCCTTAACCCAAACCCAAAACCCTAAACCTTAAAACCCTAAACCCCAACACCCAAAACCCTAAACCCCATTCTAATTATTAAGGCCCCTCTATTCGAGTCTCAGAGCTTCGTCCACAATGCCTCCTGAGCTCGCCTGGAAGGATGGCGGAAGTGGCCTTACACTACACCCCAAACCCCAAAACCCTACTTCCTAGACCCGCCTGAACCCTAAACCCCAAACCCTAAACCCTAAACACCAAACCCTAAACCCTAAACCCCAATCCCTGAATCCTAGACCCGAAACATCGAACACGGGCGCCTGGTTCAGAAGGGATTCGGGAAGGCCATGGTCCTGCAGCACTGGGTTTAGGCTTGTTTGGGGTTTAGGGTTTAGGGTTAGGGCTTAAAGTTTGTCGGTCTTCTACAGGTTCAAGCTGAAGAGAAGGCACCATTTAGGTGAAAGGGAAAGCCAATCAACATGCAAAACCTAACGAAGAAGAGAAACAGTCCCAATTATTGAGACTTGCTGTTGTTACAAGAACAATCAACCACAACTATATATATGTATATACATATAGATGTATATTCTTTCATATGTACACATGTACACATGAACATGCACCGACATATACACACCCACACACACACACACACACACACACACATACACACACACACACACACATTGCATGGATGTATATGTATATGCATAATACATACATATATACATATATTATTGTATTATACACGCATATGTATGTGTATATATATATATATATATATAATAATTATATACGCATGTGTATATATATATATATATACGTATATGTATGCGTCCTACATATAATACACACACTATCACAGCCTGAAGTGGCATAGGTGGCGAGGGAGACATTGACGAACTTGATGCGTACCTGGGGATGCCGGCTCTTCTCGGCCCCCGGAGGCAGCAACAGGGCCCCCCTTCCCGAAACCCGAAACCCGAAACCCGAAACCCTAAACCCTAAACCCTAAACCCTAAACCCTAAACCCTAAACCAAATTAAAGGAGGAGTCCTGCAGTTATTGTAGGCGGTTTAGGGTTTAGGGTAAATTCCCCTGATGGAGAGGCATGGAAGTCTTCGGGCCTAAACAAAGAAAGAAGCCGTAAGTCATGGCAGGACCGCAGTCAGAACGTAAGGCTGGAAGGAGTGGTGGTATCGGCTGGCCAAGGCAAGAGGTCACGCTCCCAGAACCGCAGCCATAGTTTCAGCCTGCTTGCGCCAGCAGAGTTCGGTTTGCGGTGGAGGCGTTAGGGCCGTTGAGGGTCCACTGCTGCTTCCACAGGCCAGGGGTGTTCCGTGTAGCAGAGTCGGGAAAGCTAGAATAAAGTGCTGCTTACGCCACGCTGGGGGAGAGAGGAAAAATCAAATGACAGAACGAAAGAGTTCAAGGAGACCTCCCTCCTGCTTTCTATTTCTTTCTTTCACAGGGCTTGGGAGGTCAAGCCTCCGCACACGGCCCGCCCCTTTCTGGGGGGACTTCTCCGCGGTATAGAAGCCCCCTGAAGCCTAAGCCCTGAAACCCCCTACACCCCTAAACCCTAAACCCTAAACCCTAAACCCTAAACCCTAAACCCTAACACCCCGGGCCCCCAAGCCCGAAACCCCGAAACCGCAATGGCGAACTTTGCTCTCGATTGACAGGCTCAGCTTGGCTGGTTCTTGGTACTTGCCAACTAAGTTCCCTATACGCTGCCTTGAAGGGTTGAGGTCTGGATGGGATGCTCCCCCTCATACTCACAGTCCTCAACCCTAAGCCCTAAGCCCTAAGGCCTAAGCCCTAAGCCCTAAACCCTGAGCCCCCTAAACCCCCTAAACCCTAAACCCTAACCCCCCCCCCCCCCCTCCCCTCCTGTTAAGGACTGTGAGTATAAAGGGGAACATCCCGAGGTTGAGGGGGCTTTAGGATTTTAGGGTTTTAAGGTTTTAGGGTTTAGGGTTTTAGGGTTTAGGGTTTAGGGTCTAGGGTTTTAGGGTTTAGGGTCTAGGGTTTTAGGGTTTAGGGTTTAGGGTTTAGGGTTTAGGGTTTAAGGCGATTCAGGTTCTGGGCTTAGGGTTTAGGGCTTAGGACTTCGGATTCTGGGCCTAGGCCTATGAGGGTTTAGGGTTTAGGGTTTAGGGTTTAGGGTCAGCTATAAGGCCCTAAGCACTGAGCCCGCGGAACGCTGCCTGTAGCGGATCCGAGAGAAGCGAGGTTAGCTTCTGTGCGGCGGGCACGTTTGAAAGCCTTGGGAACTTTGAGGTCATATGAGGGCTTAGAGGCTTTTAGGGTTTATATAGGGTTTCAGCTGTAGGTCATGCTGCAGGTGGGCAAAGTATAGATACCTGAACTTGTGCCAACTTACCCCCAAAAAACACCTTGTCAGCTTACCCAGGCTCCTATAAAAACCCTGAGCCCGAAATCCAAAGCCTAAACCCTAAATGACCTCCTAGACCCAAGAATAACCTAGGAACCAAAAGGGTACCCTTTTGGTTAAATGGGGCTTCCAAGAAAACCTAGACCGGAATAAGGGCCTACTCTTGGTCCTAAATTCCTCGAATCTCAGCCAACCACGCTTGTGTGAGCCGAGTGTACTACTATTTGCTTAAGAACCCCAAAAGAATAAACAAAACATTTAATCCCTACATTACCCTTATAAGGAAGATGTTTTTAGTTTTTTGGGGTTCTTAAGCAACTAATACTTGGAGGTTCATGGCACATATTAGCCAATAATAACTGCACTTATAACCCACTCATAAGCACCTTAAGTGCCCTAATATGGTTCTAAGTACAGTTATAAGTACAGCTATAAGATGTTATCAGTACAGCTATAATTAGTTAGTAAGTACCATGAACCTCCAAGTAGTAGTGTAGCAAAGAGCGCCTCTGGGGCCCCGCGCATGGGGAGCAAGGAGCGCAGCAAGGCCGTGTTCAGGGAGACCTGCTCGAGTTTAGGGTTTGGGGTTTAGGGTTTGGGGTTTGGGGTTTAGGGTTTAGGGTTTAGGGTTTAGGGTTTAGGGTTTAGGGTTTAGGGTTATCGAGAACATGCCAGGCAAACGCGCGCCGTGGAGTTTTTGAGGGCGTTTGGGATGCTTTTTTGGGGGATGTAGCATGTCTAGTTGCCGAGTTCATAAGCCCCCCAAACAGTGTACGTTTTCAGTTCTAAAGGGGATGATAATATCGCACAATCGTGTATAAAGTGTACGGAGGCTGGGAGGCATTCCCTGCATCTACCGCGCACAAACTCTAAACCCTAAACCCTAAACCCTAAACCCTCAAGGCCAGGATAAATAGAAATTGTACGCGTTTCATTACGAGCCGCTCGTCCAAAAATCCTTCAGCTTTCACAGTGCAAAAACCAAAAACAAAACAAAAGCATGGCTTTCAGGGCACTAAACAAGACCCTGAACTAGAAAGCCGCGAAAGATGCTGCCCAGAACCCCCCAACCCCCAAAACCCCCCAAACAGCCAGCCCCAGCCACGGTTTAGGTTTTAGGGTTTAGGGTTTAGGGTTTAGGGTTTAGGGTTTAGGGGGTTTAGGGTTTAGGGTTTAGGGTTGCCCCCTAGCCCCCCAGCCCGCTAGCCCCCCAGCTCCGCCAGCCCCCAAAGCACCCCAAAACTCCCCAACACCTCCCAAAACCATGCGAGCAAAAGCAAAAAACAAAACCCGGCAAAACCCCCCAAAACTCCGGACACAAACCCTATACAATTTCTATAAACCCTAGACCCTAGACCCCAGACCCCAGACCCTAGACCCTAGACCGTAAACCCTAAACCCTAAACCCTAAACCCGAAACCCTAAACCCTAAACCCTAAACCCTAACCCGAAGCGCCTGTTGGATCAATCCTTCCAGGGATGCTGCGCTTGCGGGCGGCGGCTCCATGTTACCTGCGGAAGGGGGGGTGCACAGCCAAACTCGAAGCAGCAGCTGTTAGGGTTTAGGGTTTAGGGTTTAGGGTTTAGGGTTCAGGGTTTAGGGTTTAGGGTTTAGGGTTTAGGGTTTAGGGTTTAGGGTTTAGGGTTTAGGGTTTAGGGTTCAGGGTTTGGGGCCCCTGAACTCTGAACCCTGGCCCCTAAACAGGACTTTCTAGAGGCCACAGCGCACTGGGCGCGCCTGTGATAAGTCCTGGAGGATGTGACGATGATGATGCTGGATTTGCATAACCTGCGCTGGGATCCAATCAGATATTCGAAGAGGACCCTGGAGAAGGATTCACAGTTGCACCAGACACGTAGATTCACACGTGCAGTCTGCAGTGTCCAGGCTGGAAGCAGATGATCATACTGTATTTCTAAGATTCAGTACACATCAACATCGGATCTGCTGATCAACGCAACTGACAACAGCAAGAAGGGTTACACGCCTGGTAACTATGCTTATCTTGCTTATAACCCCCGCGTTGGTCAGGCTAGGCTCTGCCCTGCCGGCGTGCTGTTCACTACCTGGGCCTAAGCATGAGAGCGATCAAGAAGGGGCCATCGAGTACTGTTAAGACAATCCGTCCCTGATAAGACTGGGTTTTGCTGCAATAAAAACATATTCAGTTGTTTTCAGATTCTTTTCAGATTCGGCCCCGGGCTAGAATCAAATAATCGTCCAAAAAACAGTCGCGGGTTTTGCTCTTACACTTGCCTCTGAGGCGCTCGGCTGTATTTCTTGGTGTTTTTTTTTTTTCTGTGCGTTTTGGCTGTTTTTGAAGTTTTCTGAGTTTTTTTGATATTTTCTGAATTTTTCTGATGCTTTGAATTGTTTCTGATTTTTCTGGTTTTCTTTGTGGATAGAATTTCCGCGGGAATGAGTTTTTTTTGCACTTTTCTGGACTTAAATACTTGGTGGTTTCCCAAGCTTAACACAGCACAGATTATCTGAAGAGTACTGCTGACAGCGCGAAGCCTCCCGAGCTAGCTTGTCTTCAGAGCATCCAGCCCCCTAAACCCTAAACCCTAAACCCTAAACCCTAAACCTCCTCCTGTGGATGTGCTGGCCAGAGGCGCTACCACTAGCCATCTGCAGCGCGTCTCCACCAACCCAGAGACTCCAATCCCCCTACATTCAGAATATGTCTGAAAAACCATGTTAGGGTTTAGGGTTTAGGGTTTAGGGTTTAGGGTTTAGGGTTTAGGGTTTAGGGTTTAGGGTTTAGGGTTTAGGGTTTTGCTTGCAACCCGGCGAGCGACGATCTGGTCTGAATGTGAGGTGAGACTGGCAAACTTGAGGAGCATGTTGGATGTTGCGGTTGACGGTTTAGGGTTTAGGGTTTAGGGTTTAGGGTTTAGGGTTGGGTTGAAGGTTTTAAAGGTGGGTTTGAGTTGGGAAGGTCTAGTCCAGTGCTTTGAACCTCGGTTCAAACTGCCTCCTTGGCCTGCCTGAGTGAAAACTTTAATCAACAGCTTTTGTACAGCTATGCGGAGAACCTTCCGCCCGGGGCCACTGGTCAGCTGTGAGCTGGTGCACGCTGGCACAGCAAGTGCAAACTTCAACCGGAGCAGTATCGGACGAGGCCTGAACCCACTAACACCCAACAAAGACATGGCACAAAACCGTTGCTAGGGTAGTAGTGGTCGTGGTCGGGGTCGGGGTCGTGGTGGTAGTCGTGGTAGTGGTAGTGGTAGTGGTAAGTGGTAGGGGTACGGGTAGGGGTACGGGTACGGGTACGGGTACGGGTAGGGGTAGGGGTAGGGGTGCGGGTAGTGGTAGTGGTATAGTGGCAGGAGCAGTGGTAGTGGTAGTGGTAGTGGTAGTGGTAGTGGTAGTGGTAGTGGTAGTGGTAGTGGTAGTGGTAGTGGTAGTGGTAGTGGTAGTGGTAGTGGTAGTGGTAGCCGTAGCGGCAGCGGTAGTGGTAGTTTACGTAGTGGTAGCAAGACTACTAATAGTACCAATAGTAGTAACAGCGGCAGTCGCAATAGTAGTCAACGTCGCAGTAACCACAGCCGTAGCAGCGGTGGTAATATTACCACTACTGTTCTTCTTCTACGACTGCCACCATATGTTGGCGCATAACAGGGGGCCCTACTGACAAGTTGGAAAGTCCCACTAGGTCGTCTCCGGCCATGCCCCAACACGGGCACACAAGGCTTGCAGCCAAGGATACTTCGCAGGGCTCGGCAGACCAACAAGCGACTGCTAAGGATTTAGGGTTCAGGTTCAGGGTTTCATGTTGGTTGCGCAGACACCGAATTTGTGTCACTGCAGTGTTGTGGAGAGGCATTGTTGTGATGCTTGGCCTAAACCCTAAACCCTAAACCCCAAACGCCTAAAACCTCGAAGCCCGAGTGTAACCATGGTGAGGTTTCAGAAGGTGACCTGTCACTTGCAGGCCTGCAGCCTCTCTTGGTGCGAACCACCATGAAACAAATCAATCTGAACAGCCCGGAAGCTCTTAGTAGGGACTCGGGGCCTAAGGGGTTAGGGAATGAGGTGATTCCCCCACTTCCCTACTACGAGCTCGCAAGGCAAACCTGTGCAGCAGAGGCCATAGACGCCAAGCTTTGCACAATCATCGCTGAGCTCCAAGGGCTCAGGTTTCTTGGATTTCGGGTTTCGGGTTTAGGGTTTAGGGTTTAGGGTTACAGATGTGGAACCCTCAAGAATCTACGGATGGACCGGGAAAGTGTCAGAATGGGCATCAGAACCCCTGGACTACTAGAGGTGTCGGAGCTTACTGTTCGCCCTTCCTCTTCAACACCTTCTCCACTTCAACCCACCTTGTAAGCGAGCTTCACCTCCTGCATGCATCAATCCCTTTTTGGTGGAGGCTGCGATGATCGTGGTCTAGGGCCACTAGCCACGTAGAGTGCTCCAGACCGCGGCTAAGAAGAGCTCGCGCCAGGCTCACTCCTTCAAGTACTTGTCGATGGACTTGTCCTGGCACAGCAAACCTCTTCCATCATCCTCCAACCCATGCCAGAACCCTGAATACGCCCTTAGCCCGGCCAACTTTTCCCACCTAAGCACCACTTCTCCCGAAATTGCTCTTGAACCACTAAGCCCTAAGCTCCCAAAAAAACCCTGAACTCCTAAACCCTAAACTCCTCTAGGGCTTAGGGTTTAAAGTTAAAGTCTTGCTGGGAGCCCCTGGAGCCATTCTATAATTAGGCCGCCCTTTTTGGAGCTGATTACTCTTTCAGGGGGCCTAGAAGCAAAAAAAAGGGCTAATGGGTACCACTGGGCTACCAAGAAGAAGCCCTGATCCCTAAACCCTAAACCCTAGACCCTAGACCCTAAACCCTAAACCCTAGACCCTGATCCTGAACAGCCCCCGTCCTGGCCCAAGGTACGACGCTCTTCCTCCACTGGGTAGATCAAGCCGTTCTTGGAGGAGGCGAGTTTCAGGAAGTCCTGTGAAGGGCTGAGGGCTTTGGGTTTAGGGTTTAGGGGGGCTTCAGGGTTTAAGGGTCTGGGGGTTCGGCTCAGAGGGCGTGAGTTTTAGGATTGAGGTGCCACTCCCATCTCCATGCAGCAGCTATACCTCATGCAAAGGTCCGAACTTTCAAGTCTTCTCTACAACTTGCTGAAAGAAACCCACAAAACGAAACAACAAATGATAATCCCTATACTACCCTTACAAGGAAGAAAATTGTAGCAGTTGTGCCTTTAGGTTCACGTGCCGCGTGGCACCCTGTGAGGCTTCAGCCCAGGCCTTTGATTGAACGTTGGCTGAGCAATTGGAGCCTAAGCATCTCGGCCTCGGATTTTTATATTTTTTTTTTGGGTGGGGGGGGGGGGGGGAGGCGGGTTGTTCTAGTATATAACTATATAGGGACCATGAGGGAATACTAATAGTCATTGTTCCGACCCCTACATGAGTCTTGCCCGTTGGCCCCCGGACGCTAAACCCTCAGCCATCGCCTCGTAGCCAATCGCTGCTCCATCTCTTGGCAACTGGAGGTAGTCGAAGATCTGGCATGCCCATGTTTGCTATCCCTCTCCTTCACTGAGACCTTCGCCACGACTTACACTACGACGAATAGCCTAGCAGCTCTACAGCTCAGTCTCAAGACGCAAGGACTTAAGCTGACCATGCATGGAATCCACAACCAGTGCCAGCTCTTGCATGCAGGCTTTTTTTCTTAACTCCGCAGCCTCAAGTACTGGGCTATGTCCTCTCTGCGAGGTGGGAGGCCGCCCTCTGTGGGGTAATGGAATTGTCCCATCAAGAAACGAGCCACCCACCTTTGGACGGCTTTTTTGCCAGACTGCAAAGTTCCAGAAACCGGAACTGAACAACACAAAGTCGCTGCGCGGCGGCCGCTTGCAGGCTGACATCTGAACATGCTTCGAATCATGTCATGAATGAACCACTACTACATGCAACCTTCCCAGGCTTGAAAGATGGCTCGGAAGCTTACAAGAAGGCCCTGCAGGTGAATACTGCAAGGATCTTGCTGAGGGTTCCTATACTGGCTACCCGGCATTGTAAACCCTAAACCCTAACCCTACATCCCTAAACCCTCAAAATCCCTAAACCCCTAAACCCCTAAACCCTTAAACCCCTAAACCCCTAAACCCCTAAACCCTCAAAACCCCTAAACCCCTAAACCCCCTAGACCCGGAACAGCTTCCGGCTGTTAAAGGCAACGCGGCATATCAGCTGCCAGCCTATCCGGTGAGGCCCTTTCAGCCATCCTCCTTCTTCCCGCCGAAGACCGCCTGAAGGTAGCTTGCCTGCAAGCGAGACACTTTGTAGGGTGTAGGGTTTAGGGTTTACGGTTCCTTGCGATGTTTCCCCCTATGCTAACAGTCCTTCATAGGGATTATAATGATGTTTTTAAAAGGGGGTACTAGAATGCCTAATAAGGACTGTTCGTATACGGGGGAACATCCCAAGAGGCACCATAAATCCGAAGATGTTGCTGGGGCTTCATCATTCCCTTCGTTTCTCGGGCAAGCCCCTCACAGGGAGACATTTTCCGTGAAAAGTCATGAAGAGTTCTCAGTCAGGTTGTCTTTCTGGCACAAAACCCTTACACCGTTCAACCCTAACACACCTTAACAAAATTAAGCCCTTACACCCTTCAAACCTTAAACTCGAAAAAACGGAAGGTGGGAAAACAACTTTAAGACCCCAAGAATCACTAAAGAACCCTAACAAAAAACCTTAAACCTTCAGCCCGGCCCACCCTAAACCCTAAAGCCCTAGAACCCTTTGACCCTAAGACCCTACACCCCGAAACCCTAAACCGCTAAACCCTGAAACCCCCAACTGGGCCTCTGAGAGGAGGCGATTCTTGTAGGCAGCCAGCTCCTCTTGCCTCTTCTCCGCTGCGGCCTCCGGACCTCGGAAGGAAAGGCCCTCCACTTAACGAAGGTTTAGGGTTTTAGGGTTTAGGGTTTAGGGTTTAGGGTCTAGGGTTTAGGGTTTAGGGTTTAGTGTTTAGGGTTTAGGGATGCAACGAAAGTAGGTTTTTGTAACATTTGGGGTTTAGGCTGTTAGGCTTAGGATGTTGGGATTAGGCGGCAGTGAGAACTGCGGGCACAGCAGCAACAGCCTGTACTTGTAAATCCTGAATCTTTAGGGTTTAGGGTTTATGGTTTAGGGTTTAGGGTTTAGGGTTTAGGGTTGTTTAGGGTTTAGGGTTTAGGGTTTAGGGTTTAGGGTTTAGGGTTTAGGGACACTCAACTTGGCTTGGGAGAAAGTCCTGGCACACGCATTAATTACAACTTTAAAGCTTTGAGTCAAACCCTCAACCCTAAACCCTAAACCCTAAACCCTCAACCCTCAACCCTAAACCCCAAACCCGAATCCACCAAAACGCAGACATCCACCAAATACAGGGTCCAAGGGCAACACGACGAAGAACCCGGATGAAGCAAAATTCGGGGGGCCTTAAACCCTGAAGCCTCCGCACTTCCTGAGCCAAGAAGGGTTCAGGGTTTTGGGGCTTTAGGGCTCTAGGTTTAGGGGTGTTGTTAGGGTTCTTTAGGGATTTTTGGGGGTTTTAAAGGTTGTTTTTTGTTTCCCCCCCCCCCGCCCCCGCCCCAACCCTGGAGGGTGTAGGGTTTAGGGTCTTGGGTGGGTCCCTAGAATACCCCATCCGATGTAAGCAAAGAACCCACAGAAGTTCCGCAAACCCCCGCTGCAAGCGCAGAGCCAGAAAAACAAACATCCTGCGCCGTAAAACCCCAGAAGCCCAAGTAGGAAACATGCACAATCTCGAACTGTTAGAGTGCGCAGCCCCCCACCACCCACCCACCCGCCCCCCTAAACACTAAACCCTAAACCCTAAACCCTAAACCCTAAACCCTAAACCCTAAACCCTAAACCCTAAACTCTAAACCCTAAACCCTAAACCCTAAACCCAACAAAAAGTTAAAAACACTTCATGACGGGAGCCCCGGACTGACTTCCACCGCCGGCTCCATCTCGTGTGGAAATGGATCGGCCGATTGCAGGGCATGATCCTCCTCGCCGAACCTGGGGATGCAACGGCTCGTAGCGCTTAGGGTTTAGGGTTTAGGGTTTCCCAAAGCTACAAGATTTGAACCCCTTTAAAACCCCCACTGCAATCCCCAAAACCCCGGGCCTCAAAACCCTCATCCCTACACCCTAAACCCTACACCCCAAGCCCTACACCCTACACCCTAAACCCTAAACCCTAAACCCTAAACCCTAAACCCTAAACCCCTTGGGGGCCCGACAGCTCCATCGGCTGTTCCTCCTGGTTCGGCTTGGACTCCTGTCTCAGAAGCACCCCAAGGCCTGTGAACCTAAAGACACTTAGGGTTTAGGGTTTAGGGTTTAGGGTTTAGGGTTTAGGGTTTAGGGTTTAGGGTTTAGGGTTTAGGGTTTAGGGTTTAGGGTTTAGGGCGACCCTAAACTCGAAAGCCCAAACCCTGAACCTTTAGAACCAAGAGCGCCAGCAACCCTTCCTTCATGAAAAGAAAAACCTACATCCGAAATGGATCCCTAAACCCTAAACCCTAAACCCTAAACCCTAAACCCTAAACCCTAAACCCTAAACCCTAAACCCTATCTCAAGTTCAGGTGCACACTCTCAGCCCCCTGGTCCACTGGTAGCTCGGAAACCATATCAAAATCCCTAACCCTAAGCCCTATATAAACCCTAAACCCTAAACTCCCTAAACCCTAAGCCCTATACAAACCCTAAACCCTAAGCCCTATATAAACCCTAAGCCCTAAACTCCCTAAACCCTAAGCCCTAAACCCTAAGCTCCAAACCCTAAGCCCTATATAAACCCTAAACCCTAAACTCCCTAAACCCTAAGCCCTAAATACCCTAAGCCCTAGACCCCGTTTGGGGCCGGTTACGTTGGTGTGGGAACCTTGGGCTCCAAAAGGGCGGCAGAAGCGTAGCACCAAGCACCGAGCTGTCCCATTCACTAGAAACTCGATAAGCCCTATAAACCCTGAACACTCTGAACACCCTAAACCCTAAACCCTACGACCCTAAACCCTAAACCCCAAATTCTCCACCCTAAACCCTAAACCCGATAGACCCTACAACCCTAAAACCCTCCTAAAGCCCTCTAGGCCGCGAAGCAGACTTAAACCGCTAAGGTTGGGTTCAGGTTTCAGGGTTCAAGGTTCAGGGTTCAGTGTTCAGGGTTTAGGGCTAGGGTTTCCCAAACATCCACATTCCCTGAAGCCCAAACCCTGAACTGAAAACTCAGCACTGGCATCTTTACCACTTTGGGCTCATGGCTTCGGAGCCTGGTGTGGGGTTTAGGGTACAGGGTTTAGGGTTTAGGGTTTAGGGTTTAGGGTTTAGGGTAAGCTGCAGGGTTCTGTGTTCGCAAGGGCCAAAGTTTTGAGCTTAGGGTTAAGGAGCTCAAAACCATGCTGCAGACTGTTTCGGGGCGTGTCCTCCTCCACAATCATGACGCGCTGCTGAAAGGCCGGAAGCGGATGCAGCGACCCGCCAGGCACACCTGCCACCCGAGCCAGACCCCAAAGACTCCAACATCCCTCAAGTAGGGACCCTAAACCCTAAATCCCAAACCCTGTACCCTAAACCCGAAACCCTAAACCCTAAACCCTAAACCTTCCCTACATTGCAGCAGGGATCCTAAATAGTTACGATTCAATGAACGACCCAACATTAAGGGATATTGGAGCCCCTTGTAAAGTCAAAGTTCACAGTTCACTCTTGAATTCCCGGTTGGGGTTGAGCTTGCGCTTAAATTCATACGTGTTATAAATAGGGATGTCAGTGTGGCAATTGTAACCCAATTTGGGGTGCTTTTTCTTGGGGTACTTATGGGGGGTGTACGAAGATAAGGGAACCCTGATGTAGACCCCAAATAACAGGATTCCCGGAAAATAAGGACCCCAATGAGGCATCCCTAATTTCGGAAAACCCCCTTATAATACCTTATAACCCTTTATACTTCGAACTACCCATGAGCCTCCGAGGCCTAAATCGGGAGGTTGAGTTTCAAGGTTAGGTCCGCAAGGACTCGGACCCTGTGATGATGCCCCCCTGGCAGCCCGTGAAGTGTTGCCTGCATTTGGCGTCTCAAGATTCTCTTGACTTCGCGAATTAGGAAAAATGTCTCCAGATTGAAAGTCCTCGCGCAAGAGCCGTGTTCAGCACACCGGCTTGAGATCAAAATGGGCATCAGACCAGCGTTTCAGCCGAAGCTGCAGCAGTGGCAGAAGCCCTAACACGGCTGCAGGCAAGCATGCCCTAAACCCTAAACCCTAAACCCTAAACCATAAACCCTAAACCCTAAACCCTGAACCCTGAACCCTAAACCCTAAACCCTAAACCCTAAACCCTACAGTAGAAGTAAGCCCAGCGGCCTGCGGCAAAGGGCTTTGGCTGCGCCGGTGTCGAAACCTGGCGGCACGATGCGGTAAAGATGAGATAGCACACGATATTACCGACTACAATGTATTCACATAACTCTCACGACGTAAAGCCCTAAACCCCTAATTA